CAGCAAGGCAAAGAGAAGGTCTCAATCAATCAAAATAGAGCTGGAAGGGACCTTGGAGGTCTTCTAGTCCAACCCCTTGGCTCAAGCAGGAGACCCTCTACCGTTTCAGATAGGTGGCTGTCCAGTTTTTTCTTTAAAATCTCCAGTGATGAAACATTCACAACTTCTGAAGACAAGCTGTTCCACTGGTTGATTGCTCTCACTGTTATTTCTCCTTAATTCCAGATTGCTTCTCTCTTTGATTAGTTTCCATCCATTATTTCTTTTCTTGTCTTCTGGTGCTTTGGAAAATAATAAGAAATTAAGAGCCGAGGTGGCGTACTGGTTAGAGTGCAGCACTGCAGGCCACTTCAGCTGACTGCTATCTGTAATTCGGCGGTTCTAATCTCACCAGCTCAGGATTTACTCAGCCTTCCATCCTTCCGAGGTGGGTGAAATGAGGACCCAGACTGTGGGGGCAATATGCTGACTCTATAAACCGCTTAGAGAGGGCTGAAAGCCCTATGAAGCGGTATATAAGTCTAACTGCTATTGCTATTGCTAAGTGGACCCCTCCCCTTTGTGGCAGCCCCCTCAAATACTGGAATAGTGCTATCATGTCCCCCTTAGTCCTTCTTTTCCCTAGACGAACCAAACCCAAATCCTGAAACCTTTGTTCATATATTTTAGTCTCCAAGCCTTTTAATCATCTTAGTTGCTCTTCTTTGCACTTTTTCCAAAGTCTCAACATCTTTTTTGTAACATGGTCACCAAAACTGGATGCTGTATATTAGGTGTGGCCTTAGTAATGATTTTTAAACTGGTACCAACGCTTCACATCATGGTGATTTGTTTATGTGCCTTTGTTTATACAACCAAGGATGGATTATATAACCAAGAATTATACAGCCACTGTGGCTCAGATTCTCATCTTACGATAGGAGGCCAGGCATTCTCCTGGAAGGCTGCTAGAATATTGCCCAATTTCAGCCTCTGAGTGAATGTTGGGGTATCTTTCAGGGAGCAGATTTCCCCTTTTAGCCTTTGCAACCCCATCTCTGATGGATGGCCACTTGGATTGGGAACAAATACCAATTCAAGGGGATTTTTATTCTCCAAAATCCCCTGGGAGCCAAACAAGAAGTAACTGGTAGAAGGGAACTGGTTCTCCTGGGTATTTCTGATGGGAAAATAGGGAATAAACTACAATACATAACATTATATATCCTAACCGTAAGTAGAATCGTTTTAGCACCGAATTGGAAACAAACAGAAACTCCTCCCGACCCAATTACAAGAAGGAAAATCTATGAATGTGCAGAAATGGATATACTGTCTATGGAAATGAAGGAGAAAGAAGAAACCAATTTGGAAGAGATGGTATTCCTGGCTTGAGAGTAAACTTAAAACATAAGGTATAAAAAGTTAAAGTATAAAATATAGAATATAAAATGTATAAGAAATATATGATATAACATACAATAGTGATATAGAGATATAATGTTTGTAAATAGGATTGTTACAAAAGATATACCATATTTTTCGGAGTATAAGATGCACCAAGATTTTGAAAGGGTACGTTAAAAAAAAGTTTTTGCACTCTGCAGACCTCTTCAAAAATGGCCCCTTTTTCATTTTTAAAAAAGGGCATGCATAGCCTTTAGGAGGATTATAGAGTGCTCCTGGGGGCTGGGTGGGGGCAAAAATGAGCAAAAACCGGCAAATTTTTTGCTCATTTTTGCCCCCCCCCCTAGCCCCCAGGAGCATTCTGGAAGCCTCTCAAACCCTCTGCACATCCATTTTTGCAAAGAGGGTGGGGTTTTGGGAAGCCAAAAATGCTGTATTCAGTGTATAAGTTTTTAATCCTCTTTTTTGAGGAAAAAGGTGCATCTTATATGCCGAAAAATACGGTAGATACTGATATGGAAAAGCTGTTATAAGAAGAAGTTTGTGTTTTGTCTTTTGTCTTTTAAATGTTGGAAAATTCAATAAATATTATTTAAAAAGAAGAAGAAGAAGAAGAAGTAATGGCTAGAAACCGACCAAGGAGAGATACAACCTGGAATTAAGGAGAAATTTCCTGACAGGGAGAACAATGGAACGTCTGGCCTCCAGAAGTTGTGGGTGCTTCATCACTGAAGGTTTGCAAGAAGAGGTTGGATAGCCATTTGTCCGGAATGGTACAGGATCTCCTGCCTTGCGCAGGGGGTTAGACTAGAGGACCTTAGAGATCTCGTCCAACTCTTCTGTTATTCTTGAGCTCCTGCAGCTGTGGCTTCCTTACCCAGCTACCCAGTGGCTCAGAGGCAGCTGAAGAAGGATGCATATTTAGGGGCTTCTAGTCCATCCATCCCACGATAGCCAAAGGAGACCAATAAGGAGAAATCGAAGCCTTTTTCTATGCAGAAGACTAAATAAACCTTTTTTTATTAAAGAGTTTTAATAGATTTTACAAATGTTTCCCCTTCCCTCCTCCCGCCCCAACCCCTCCCCCCCTCCAACACTCCCTCCCCCCAACCTCCCAGAGGAAAATACAGGGTATAAACATTTAACAATCATACACTAAGATAAGCTACCTAACTATAGCATCCTACCTCCTCTTATACTTTAATTCCCCTTTTATTAAGCTAACTTTAGATAAATTGTAACATTCCTTGTTCATTCATTCGTAAGCTAGTTGAAATTTCTTAGTCCGATATTTATTTTGAATGTAGTCAATCCATCTTCTCCATTCCAGCTTGTATTTCTGATCTGAATGGTCCTTCAAATATGCTGAGATTTTGGGCATTTCTGCTAGGTTTACTACTTTTAACGTCCATTCTTGAATAGTAGGCAATTCTTCCTTCTTCCAATACTGCGCCACCAACAATCTTGCTGCCGTTGTTAAGTTCAGAATCAAATTAGTCTCTATAACTGTAAAGTCTGTAATTATACCTAGCAAGAACAAACCTTTTTCAAGCCCCAGAGAAAGCGGGATCTTTTTCACAAGTTTGTTTCCATGGACTTGTCTTTGCTTGTTCTTTCCGTCCTGTTACTTGGGGAGGGGTGTTTATTTATTTATTTATTAAATTTATTGGCCACCCATCTGGGCACCTTACAGCATTAAAGCATTCAAATCCTAACAGAGAAATACCCATGTTTCCCTGAATATAAGATCGGGTCTTATTGTCTTTTGGGTACCAAGCAGTGGTGAAATTCGGTTTTTTTTACTATCGGTTCTGTGGCATGACTTGGTGGGCGTAGCTGGGGAAGGATACTGTAAAATCCCCATTCCCTCCTGATCAGCTGGGACTCAGGAGGCAGAGAATAGATGGGGCGTGGCCAGCCAGAGGTGGCATTTGGTGGTTCTCTGAACTTCTCAAAATTTCCACTATCGGTTCTCCAGAACCTGCTGAATTTCACCCCTGGTACCAAGATATGTACTAGGCCTTATTTTCAGGGGTGTCATATTTTTCCCCATCTATGGGAGGCCCACTTCTTCTGCTTGCTCCTGATGTGGCAGGAGGCCACCGTGTCTGTGAGTGCCGCCACTGCGAGGCAGAAGGAACGGAGCTGCATCATGTGCCCTGCACCAGCTTACCTCAAGGCCCATCCATCCCCTGATACCTGCCTCATCTCACAGCCACAGCACAAACTCAGCCTCCTGCTTTCTTTTTCTTTATTTAAAAGTTTTTTATTAAACACACATTAAAACATTGGACACAGTGTAACCGTCCTGGCAATGTCTTTGCCATACATACTAGAATATAAAGCAGTGGTGAAATTCATTTTTTTTACTTCCGGTTCTGTGGGCGTGGCTTGGTGGGCGTGGTGTGGCTTGGTGGACGTGGTTTGGTGGGTGTGGCATGGGAAGGATCCTGCAAAATCTCCATTCCTACCCCACTCTGGGGCCAGCCAGAGGTGGCATTTGCTGTTTCTCTGAACTACTCAAAATTTCCACTACCGGTTCTCCAGAACCTGTCAGAATCTGCTGGATTTCACCCCTGATATAAAGTTAAATATTATAACCACCATTCTTATTTACAATTCTCTATTCAGTATTTGCAAATATAAGGATATTGTATTTCCCTCCGTGTTGCTTTGTTCTTGTCTTATACATTTTCACTGTTATAATTCCATACATAATTCTAATCTCCATTTCGTTGCTCATTTTGGTCTTTCCTTTTTTGTTCCAACCATCGATAAAATTTATCCCAGATCTTGTAATATTCTGATTCATCTTTGTTCTTCAATCCCCACGTCAATTTATCCATTTCAGCACAAATCAGAATTTTCCTAATAACTTCCTCTCCTTGTGGAATTTCCCTATTTTTCCAGTTTTGGAGAAAGACCATTCTTGCTTCCGTAATAATATGTATTATTAAGTAGACTACCCCTTTGTTAATCCTGCTACTGTTCTGTTGTGGCCATGAGCAAGCAGAAGTGGGCCAGCAGCCACGTGGGCTTATTATGAGTATTTGAGAAGGGATTTGTTAATGTCAGGGTCCCAAGTAACACCCCCAATGAAGGAAGACTCTGAGGCTCGAGTTTCCTCAAAGTTCCATTTTATTAGAGATGTCGTGATGGAACATCTGGGAAAAACAGAGTCTGAGAGCTTCCAGGTTTTCCCACCCAGTTGAAAGTTCAAAACCCTGCCCCAACACCCACAAGTCCATCCCATGGTCCAATCATGCATTGCCGTGAAGACAGATTTCTCCCATCCACATCCGTCCAGGTGCAGAGACAAAGCCAGAATTCAGTCAGCTGGTTTCCAAATCCTCTCTTGTAGGCAGCCCAGTCGCAGAAAAAGTCCACCAACCTCCTTTGGTGGGGGGAGAATCGGGACCCTTAACCTTCCCTCTGGGCAGGTCCCAAAGTCATACT